GGTGTGGGGTGGAGGTGTGGGGCGGAGGTATAGGGTGGAGGCGGGAGGCATTTGCAAGAACGCTGAGAGCTGAGTTCTCACGTTTAGTTATTTTGTGCCAGGAAAGAAGTAAATAGCTATTCAAAGGTAGAAACCTAATCATAGCAATAGAATCACATTATTTGGAAACAGATTGGGAAGTCACATAAGATACTCATAAGAAGGTTAAAAAGCAATTCCACCCAGGTACAGAAGGCAGGAGCGGTGACGTGACGAAGGACTCATTCTCCTTAGGAATCTCTCTGAACTGTTTTGACTTTTAAAACATGGGCATGAAATATTATGCTTACCACACAAGCAGTTTAAAAATTGATGAAAAAAGTACACCCAAGTTATGAGAAACAGTTGGCTAGCTGGGAGCTGAGATGTTCTGCGACTGGATACGTTGCTTTCTCATACCGCTTCTGTCATGGTTACTAATAGATTATGTGGCCAAAGACAGGAAAATGCTAAAACACACGAAGGGGTTACAGACTGACACATCCACTTGTTGCCTTGTTCACAAGCAAAGAACTAAAAGTGGACTTACCCAAATTAGTCAAGAGGTATGCAATCTTTTCATAGGCCTGTAATAGGAACAAAGTATAATGAATACATTATTCTTTTAGAAAAAGTTGATATTTACATCATTCAAAGAAACATCTAAAGTATGCTCTGCAAAAGCATGCTCCTTAAAGTGGCTACTTTTGAAATTAATTAGAAATATTCATTTAAACTTAGAATAAAGTTGTTAATCTATAACTGTCTACATGTACGAAATGGGCATAATATACACTTGTGTGGAAGTATATGGATACACAATTTGTCATTTATAGTAAGAAGTCTTTTGTTGCAGTTAACTTCTACTTTATAATCTACTTGTAAAGGAGAAAATAAGTACACAAATTTTTCAGTTAGTGACAGGTAAGCTGAGATTGAATCTTAAAATTCTAAGGTCTTCTTGACACACTGGAAGAGGAGATGGGGGCATGAGATCTCTGTTAGTCATAAAGAATTGTCCAAAGTATGACAAAACATAATTTGCTGGCTTACACTCTCAATTAAAAATTGTTTGGGTGCTTATTTAAAAGAAAATCTAGGTCATTTCTCTTCAGTGTGTAAGTCCTTTGAAAGACAGATTTTTTTCCTGTCCAAACACTATTAGGACAAATCTTTCTTCTCATTGAATTAAGAGAAAGTAGCTGTATATCTATCCTATTTTGTACACACAGATACAAAATGGTCCTTCATTTATATCCCCTTTTTTGTTTAGTTTTCTTAGAGATGGGTATTCCATTGCCATTTCAAAATTGTAGGTATGTGAATTCAGCAAAATAATCCAATATAGTCCAGTAGACCATAATAGTAGTGTGTTCTACTACAAAGACAACAATATGCATGGTATTAATTATTGTAACTGTCCTACTAACCTGTTTTGAAACTGTCTCATTGCTATTTTTTCTCAATAAAATGAATAAAAAAGACAGATTTTTTTTCCTGATAATAGTCTTCATGCCAGGCCAGGCTCCTCCCAAATCTATTCTAACCATCGCTTACACAGACCCAAGGACATGGTATAAATTTTGAAGCACTGTAGGGAAATGTAGCTGGAATAGCACATTTGCTCCAAAGAAAAGGGTGTTACACATTCCTGATGCGTGTGTGTGTGTGTGTGTGTGTGTGTGTGTGTGTGTATGACTACATTCTCATAATTCAACAAAGTAATGTTTAGAATTTTGAAATTATATATCATTTTAATGCTTTTATATTTTTTAAAGTAAAAAGATAAAGAATAATAATTCCAACATCCCCATTCATTGGCCTGCAGAATTAAAGAAGGGAGGCTCACATGCCTTTCCACAGTAACAGCTGCTGCTGGTCCCTGAGTGCGCTTGTAATAGGATTACTGTGGTAATCTGGCCTAGTCATGATTCAAGCCTACTGCTTTATGAGATCCAGAATATTCTTTAGGCTGAAAGGCTCTGTATACGTTCTCTGGAGCGGCAGGTTTTGCTTGTTTGTTTGTTCTACTACATTCGCAAGCTACCATTTTCCAATTTTCAGAGTCCCTGGAATCCTTGAACACCAAGCTTACTCTTATTGTGCCACTTCCTCTCTGTGCTTCATTTATCAAGTAAGACAAGCCCAGCAGGGTCTCCTAGGGACAGACTTGATCAACCAGCAAACACTGGGCAGCACTACTGTGCCGCATCACTGACTCGACCAGCCTCACGGAGGCTGACAGTTGATTCTGCTTAAATCACTGCCGTGTAGGGCAAAGCACTGTGACTGTGGCCAACAGTGCCTTCCACATACTCCCATTCCTTTGTGTCAATCCCAAGTATGTATAACAATCCCCATTCTGCAAAACAGGGAACTGAGGCACAGCATCAGGCGCAGCCCCGGCAGGTGAGCAGCGGGGTGAGGGTGGCCATCAGCGGGGTGAGGGTGGCCATCAGGACTCGCCTGCATGATGCTGTGCTTCGTCACATTTCAAGACTTTTATCTCAATACTTAGCCTGTTCACAAGCCTGGGCTGGAGATACCTGCCACCGGATGCCACAGCAGAGCGCACTAGCCTATGAAGAAGTGTTATAAATCACAGCAAAGGCTGCCCTGCGGAAGGGAAGCTTTCTGGGGTTCTTAAGAACTTGTGCCACTCAAAGCCCAGATGCGGTGGCTGATTGGCACCCCCATGGGGAAATCTAGACAATCAGTCCATGCAGACTGACTTGTGAAGTCCACAGCTACACAGCACAGCACCTAGGATTTTATACTTCACTGGGGGGCAGCAGTGACTCTGGAAGTGGAGTAGAATGACGATGAGTTTGGGTGGGGACAGCCAGGGAGATGATCCAAGGACCCAGCAATAGTTGTCCAAGCTGACACTGCCTCTACTGAGGTTCTGGAACTTAAACGCCAGTGGGCAGAGACAGATGGCCCCAGATCTGGGCCTGGTCAGGAGGTAGGAGGTGCAGCAGCTGGGGTGCTGGCGAGAGAACTACTTCTCCTGTGAACCTGAGCCACACTCAGAGGTGACCTTGGGCTAGAGATGGTGACCTTGAGCAGGAACATGGAGTGCTAGAAAGGGCCAGGCTGAAGTCCAGGCTAAGCACCTTTGAGATCCAGAACCACCGAGCCAATGCCCCAAGACTGGCATGGACTCTGTGGGCTTCCTGACAGGCAAGGAAGCAGGAAGGACAGGAGAGGTGACACTGAGTCAGGCAGAGGGGAGGCAGAAGGGCCTCAGAGGGGCACATCCTCTCAGGGGACCACTGGCCAGTCCCATCAGAGCTCACTCAGCACTTTGGCATCACCAGCCTCCCCATGCCCTGGGAAAGTTTGATGCCAGCATCCGTTAGGCAGGACAACAGCAGCAAGGGCAGGGCATGGACGTGGTCCTCCCAGGAGCTCTGCATGGTTCAGGGCATTTCAACTCTGAATCACAGCCCAACTGAAGAGTCCCTGTGAAAATGAACCCCAGACTTCTGCCGAGTGGGAGAGACTGCTGTCTTCCAGCTCTCGTCCCTCTGAATTTCTGTAAACTGTGGGTAGAGATGTGCACAAACCAAACAAATACAGTTTAGAAAAAATATGAGCCTCTTATTAAATGAGTGACCAGGCATTAACGCCTTTCTTGGTTAAGACCTGTGGGCCAAGCCTTTGATCCACCCATCCGCCAACAATCTATGAGCATTGTGATCAGTAACCAGGAGGGACCAGGCACTAGAAGGGTAAAGGTATCTTGAGGCATAATCATCAGGTCTCGGAAAGCAGCGCAGGAACACAGACGCTGAAATGCATCAGCGGGTGGGAGACCAGAGCCAGCAGATTCCAGCCACTGTCCACATGCTGCTGTCCTTTCCTCTTCTTTCTTGATTGTGATGTGCTCTGTGTATGGGAAACTGACTACCACAAAGGAGGAGATCTCGTGAGAGGGGTTCGTCCTTTTCCTGACTCTGCTGAAAGGCTTAGCTGGCCTGAGCCAGGGTAAGCTATGAAAGTACTTCTCAGATGTTTCTGTTTTGCTCTTAAGAATTATCTCCTACTTAGGATGCCAGACAGCTGTCACCCTACTGTCACAGGACACAGGATTGACTTTCAAGCAACAAGAATTATATTTTCTGAATAACTTTACATGTTTCATTGTCATTAAACCATCTTTGGAAGTACTAGCTGATTTGGTGACCACCCATTACTCTTGGTACCTAGAAGTAGCAGCACCGCTGTAGGAGACCAAAATACAGGAGAAAATGTGTGGGGTCGAGAAAGCCCGACGCCTAGTTTCAAATTCGACCACTGCAGCGCTTTAGCTGTATGTTGATGAAAGGACATTACAAAATAATCTATTAAAGCTTCTAATTCTTGTTACATTTTATTGCAATTTATTTTTAGAGGCTGTAGTTTCTGATCTTGGCTATGTGTCTGAATTCCCTTAGGCTTCTTAAGTCAATGATTTCCAACACTATTTTAGATCTGGCTGGAGCAGAATGCCCAGAGAACTTCAATGCCAGTGGAGGACATAGAGTGCTAGAGGGGGCCTGTCTGAAGACGGGGCTCAGCACCTCTGAGACACAGAACTACAGGGGCGAGCCCCAAGAGAGGCACGGACCCTGTGCGCTTCCTGACAGGCAATGAAGCTACAAAGACAGGAGAGATGGTATGGAGTGAGGCAGAGGGGAGGCAGAAAGGCCTCAGAGGGGGACGCCTCTTTTTGATGTTTTGTTTCAAATACTTTAATAAAAAAAACCCACAAAGATCATTAACAGAAATCAGGAATCCATAGTTTTTCAAGTGCTGCAGAAAATTTGATATGCAATAAAAATTGGAAAACACTTTTAAAATTACACAGATTCTACGTAATAGACTTGAAATCAAGTTTTTATAATATTAGTCCATATGTTTCTCCCCAGTTGAATATTTATTTCAGAATTGCCATGACCTACCTATTTTGAAAGATTTAGAGAATGCAGACTTTGGTGACATAAAGATGGCTATACATTTTATTGTATATAAGAGATATACTGTATGCTTGAAAACACAATGCTAGTAACAGATGAGCTGACCATGTGCAATACAGGAGATGCCAGTGCATTTGGGGAACAACACATATCAGATTTATTCAGAGGACACATTGTAAATGACATTCAGCTGCTCAGCAAGGACCTGGAGGTCCAAGACCAGGAAGCAGGGCAACCTGTGCTTCTCTGTGCTCAACACTTGGACAGCGGAAGGACGGGACAAGACAGCTAGAGCAAGGGAAGAGCTCTCGCCCAATGCTGAGTAATTCCACCAGGGGAATC